GTGCCACTCTTAATGACCGCGTGGCGTCCGCTGTTTTGGCGGGGGGGGGGGGACCAACGCCGCTGCCGTAGTCGGGCGCGGTGACCGCCTGTTGCTGGCTGCGTCGTGCGCTGGTGGGCGGCGTTCCTCCGCGGCAACCACGGCGGGGTTTGCGGCGGCCGCATCGCCTCTCCCCGGGGAACGCGCGCGAGGAGTTGCGCAGGGGCAACGCCGATCTCCCTGCGTTTGCCGTCGCCAGGGGTCTCCTCTGCGCCCGCAGCGGCAACGGGGTTGCGCACAACGCGGCTTCGCGGTAAGACCTCAGTGTCGCGGCAGTGCGGTCCGATGAGCCCTTCGTGGACGCCGGCGCGGGCAGGGCGCACTCGCCTCTCTTCCGGGGGGCTCCGGTCTCCCTGGGGCGTTTCCCTGTCCTCTTGGGCACCGCGCGCACCATGGCGGCCGCGTTGAGCGACACCCGTCTGCATCGGGCCCGGGTCGGCGCTTGCTTCGATTGGCGGCGGCTTCGTTGCGTGCGTGTGTGTCGGCGGTGGGGGAACACCCTGCGGGGACGCTCTGCCCTGCCGCGCCCCGGGCGAAGATCAAGCACGGCGCCGAGGTGCGGCAGTCGGACGGCAGAGACGCCCCGCGGCCCAGCGCCGCCGCCGCCGGACACCCACTACACCCGCGCCCCCACGACGCAAGGCAGCGGCGGGCTGCCAGGTGCTTCGGGACATTCTGCGGCTGCCGTCGCGCCGTTGCGGCGCACGCGGTAAAACGTCACTGCCTTCGTCGCTCGCAGGCATCGCGGGAAGTCAGATTTTACGGTTGGAGGTGTTACGGTGGTTGCGGAGGGAAAGTCTCAACAATTGCAGGCGTCTGATGCCGGGCAGCCTTTTTTCTCTTTCCAGCGAACGGAGAGCAACGGCACGGCTTTTTTTTAGAACCCAATTCGAAGACTGGCGTTTTACGGCCACGTCGACGTGGATTCTGCAGGTTGTGCAGCCCCTTCTGGTCGCTGCGCCGGACCTTCTGCTGACCGTGCCGCGCACATGTGGCGGTGCCCCGGAGCCAACGTCTCATGAGCGGCGTGAGTGCGCTACAAGTTTTATTTTT